AACAGTGAAATAATGGGTTATGTATGAGAACTACTCATTGAAAAGAACAAGCAGCTTTAGCTTACTGGAAAAAATAAATAAATAATAAAATAGATGCAGTCCAATATGATAAATATTTATTTTAGCAAAAGAAAACAAATTCAATATATTTTGGTGTAAATCAATATATTCAGTGTAAATTCAGTGTATCGTTGCATAACCTTCATTGATACTATTATTAGTAATAGCAAAACTGAACTAACTAATATTGTTGTTGTTTATTATTATTATTTATTAGTAGTAGTATTATTACTATAAAAAGCATATTACTGCCAAAGCAATACCACATAAGTGAATAAATAGCGTAAATAAATGGATCAAGAGGGACCAAAATCAGTCACCTGGGGCCTCATGTATCAACGCTGCGTATGCACAAAAACTTTGCGTACGCCAGATTTCACGCTCACGTTTAGATTTACTAAGTATGAAATGAACGCGAACGCGGTTTTCCCAATCTAATCGGAGCGATCGACTGCACGCACATTGCTATAAAAGCACCATCTGAAGACGAATTTGCAAACATGAATCAGAAATATCTCCATTCAATAAATGTGCAAATAATATGTGATGCTCAAATCTGCTTAACATAATACTCACACTTATTAATGATTCCTACTTGTCTTCCTTGTGATGAAGAGTAGGCAAAATCTGATATGTAGTGGGGAAAAAAAGAAGAATGAGTTCATCAGATGCTGGATTGGAACCGAGTTCATGCTTTAACGTGTCAAAACATGTTGCCATGCGCTTTACGAGCTACGTTACTCACGCTGCTAAAGACACTACAAAATTTTACACCTTAATATCGGACCAATTATTTTTTAATTCACTCACAGTGCAATGTTCAGACCCAACTGCGTTTACCGCGTCAGCTAAGCAATTCCAATTTATTTATTCCGAAGGACAAACTTGCAAATACCACCGTTTTTCTCAGGTCCACCTCCGAAAGGAGCACCTCCAATTCACATTCTGTTCAAAGTTTCTCTTTTTGCTTGCTTTTGCCATTGCTTTTTTATTGGGTTTTGCCAAAGTAGAGTCATTAGCATATTCATACGGGGGAGGAGGCAGGGAGGGGTAGTTTCAAAACTCTCACTAAGGTAGTTTCAGTACTGTGACCCGGTCTAAAACCAGACTGAAATTTCTCAAATAAACTGTTTGTTTGGAGATGGTTTTGTAGTTGGCACACCACCACATGATCAAGGACTAGCCAACAATAGTAGACATCAGCGAAAAGTCACTGCCAGGTTTTTTAAGAAATGGAGTCATAGCAGCCATCTTCAGAACCGATGAAACAAACCCACTACTGAGGGAGGCATTAACAATGGCAGTGATGTGGGGCTCAAAAACAGACACAGAGTGCTTCAAGACAGTCGTAGGAAATTAATCGAGTATAAAGGTGGTAAAATTCATTGACAGTACAAGATGTATAATAAAATCAAAGTCAACCGTGTTTAAAGTTGAGAACGGAGGGAAACAACTCAACAGGGACAGAAGTATGATTACAGGCAATAGAGTTGAATATGTCATTCATTTTATCTGTAAAGAATTTAAGAAACTCGTTGCATCATTCAATAGGCGAGGGGTCTGAGTTACAAGAGAGTTTAATCAAATTGTTGACTGTACGAAATAGAACTCTGGAATTTAAACTATTACTACATATGGTTCTTGAATAACATTCCCTTTTTGCGGCTGTAAGAGCATCATAATAGTTATTTTGGTGCTGATAAAACTTAAGTCTATGCACCAGGAGACCAGATTTAATGTTCTTTCGCTCCAATTGCCTGCCAACAGCTTTCATTTATGAAGATCGTGTGTATACCACAGAGATGATCTTTAAATGTAACAACATGACTTCTCATGGAAGCAATGTCATCTAATATACACTTGAAAACAAGATTGTACTGATCGACAGATGAAATAACAGATAATCCACCAGTTATTTGCCTGAGTTGATCATGGTCAATTTTTCCAAGTTGCCAAAAGAAAATAGTGTGTTCTCTGACAATCTGTGTGGCGGGTAGAGTGAGATTGAAAGTGAGGAGTTTATGGTCACAAATCGAAACTTCAGCCCCTGCAAGTGGATTAATAATCACTCCTGAGGACCAAGTCCAGTGTGTGACCATGTTTGTGCATCGGAAAATAAACATGCTGAATGAAGTTTAGACAGTCTAAAATGTCCATTAAACATAAAGCATGGACACACTTCATATTGTCAACATGAAAATTCAGGTCACCAGTTAGAAGAATAGCAGAGCAGTGGGTGCTGGTGAGTGTCAACAACTCAGAATATTCGGTAAAAAAAAGTCAATATTAATTTTGGGTGAACGATAGATATTTAAAATCAGGACTGGGGATGGACCAGATATTTTAAACGTCAAACATTCAAAGGTGGGGAAGAATTAGGGCAGTGTTACTGCAGATACAGCCGATCGGAAAACAACAGCCAAGACTCCACCAGCCGGGGTGGCCGCTCAGGGTATTTATAGCCAGGTAAAGTACACATATTTAGATTAAGAAAGTCATTTGGCTGATGCTAAGTCTCACTAGGGCAAAGAAAGCTTATTGTCAACAATAAGATCACAAATCGAGGCAGCTTTGTTGTTTATAGAGCAAGCGTTTAAATGTGCAAACCTGACTGTCTTGAGGCGAACTCCCTTGACAGCTGGAGACTTCTGGAGACAAGCCAGATTTGCAGGACAACACCGTGATGGAAGACGATGATGATCCACACACCTGTAAAACCAGACCAGCATTAGTTGTACCAGCAGGGTGTAACGTTGTTTGGAGATTCCGGCGAGAGCCCCTGTGGTTGTATCTTGGGCGACGTAGAAGTCGTAGCGAGCGTAGAGTGGACAGCACATCAGTATCAGGAAACGAAGTGTGTTAAAAATTGTACAGTTCATTGGTAGAATAGATGATCATATTAAAATCCAGGGGACCAATAAAGGTTATGACAAGTGCTCCAATAAAATCTAAGATAAAAGCAATAAAAAGGTGCATAGCTGTGTGCTAGCAAAACAGATGCTAAACGGAGCGTAAGGAATACCTGGTGGCGAAGGCAGTAAAGTTCCACCTCTGATTAAAAGTCACGACACAGTCACGATAAAATATAAGTAAAATCACAGTCGCGAAAAGTAAGCGCTCAGTTTACAGGAGTGGTTTTTAGGAGCTGCATAATCTGCACATGACAAACGACAAGCAACAGACCGGAAGTAATTCATTTCCAATGAAGAGTAGTGGAGCTGCGTGGAGTTCCAATCATCTCCATATGTGGAAAATTTGGATTCGAATTGAGCTGCAGATTTGTTAAAATATTTGAACTCGTGCGACTAGACCAGAGATGGGCAAACTTGATCCTTGAGGGCCGGTGTCCCTGCAGAGTTTTGTTCCAACTCTAGTCAAACACCTGAACATGCTAATCAGTGTCTTTAAGATCACAAGAAATCTATAAGCAGGTGTGTTTGATTACGGTTGGAGCTAAACTGTGCAGGACACTGGCCCTCCAGGACCGAGTTTGCCCACCCCTGGACTAAACCGTATGCGTCCAGCCGACTGGATGTACTGTATTTCAGTATTGCCCAATAGGTCTGTGCGCATGAGATGAGAAATATAATTTCTGCATTATTTTCTGAATAATAAAAAGGTCTTTATTAAAAAACATTTCTATTCATAACTGAGTAATAAAAATATATGATTTTAATGTTGTCTCCATATTCCCTCCAACAGCAGTCTATGAGTTTCTAGTATTCGTTCATTCATCCATTCAATCGTGGTGAATGCACAAAGAATAAAGGCTGTTTTTGCACTTTATTTTGGACACCACGAGAATTAAGCTTCTCTCCCATGGTGCATGATACATTGAAAATTCTGTGCGACTGCCACAAGGGGGCGTACTCAAATCCAACAGTTGTGTTCAAATGTTGTGTACAGTGGATAGGCGGCTTTAGAGTTTGTGCAAGCGAAATTCTGTTGTCCGGTGCTGCGAAAAGTGGTAGGATTAAACAAGATTTTTAAACATTGTAAAAAGCGATTGGTCCATTTAAATTCTTGTCCAGAGAAGTCATGTTTTCATCTTCGATTGGTCTCAAGTAATCATGTGATGCAATTTTGCAGGTCAGAGTTCACCAACCTTTAACTTTTCAAAACAGTGAAACTGTTATGATCTTCGATTGGTCTTACACTATGGAGACCCGGAAGGGAGTGGGACATGATGGTTTCAAAAAAAACGAGGTGGGAGAAAAAAAAACAGAGTGATAGGAAAACATACTTTTTAAAAAATTTTCCACAAACACTCCCTGTTCACTTCATTCATGTCAACCCTTCCATTTTGACGAAATTATCTAATATACTACCATTCTATCCTTATTATCATTGTGTCAATAAGTGTTTTCCCATATTTCTGATATATTTTTAGTTATGAAAGCACGTTGAAATACAAAAATCTTCTGCCCGTCAATCATCACCCTTCCTATGCAACCTTTGAATCAGCGAATGCATGTATAAAGCAATGACTGACTGACGTGCTTTGTATGATGAACTAATCCCAGACCAGCTTCTATACACATCTCTGTTATCAAACAAGTGAAGAGCAGCAAATGAATCTCTGGTTTTGTTTTGTTTCATAACAGAGTTGTCACTTAAATGCACAGACCTTTTTATTTTTCCCCACCATTGCGTCTTGTATTACAAAATCTCATGAGGCTATTTCGCAGGTCAGAGTTCACAAAGCTTGCACTTTACAACGCAGCAAAATGAAAAACTTGTCGCTCAAACTTGTGTTTCTGTTCTGCTGCATTCGCATGCATATGAATAGAAGTCTATGGGGAGAAAAGTTCAGTGTGACTCAGTTTGCATTTATTCCTGCCAAAAATTTCCTTCACCTGTGTTGATTCTTAGTTCAATCTGTATCACCTGTATTAGTTAATCAGTGAGTGTATTTGAGTTCCTCAGCACCCTTTAGCTTTAATCTGGTCTGTCCTTGCTTCTTGTTCAGGTTTCTACAGTTATTTAGTCATTCAATGTTTGAATGTGTATGTAATTTATTAAATGTTTATTGTTCTTTTTATCTAGCATTTGTGCTCCATTTGTGAATGCAGGGCTGATTGAGCAAGTTCACAAGCTCTGAAACTTTATTGAAGACCTCTGTCTGCACACCAAAGTAATTTTTCGGCACCAAGAGCTTCTGAACCACTTTTATATACAAAGTATCTTTCTCTGCACCTTAATTTAGACACTGAACTTTTCTGTTTTATGTTCAGGTTCATGATGGTGATGCTGAGAAGTCTTCTGCTGTTTTTCTTCTTGTTCTGCATGGGCATTGCAGCAGGTAGTCAATATGTTAAAAAATTTTTTAATTCTTTTTAAATATTATACTTTTGTAGTTTTATTAAGGAAAAGTAAAGCATTTACTGTGATCATACAAACGGTTATAAATGACGTTAACTTTGCTGGGAGTCACAGTAACAGTGTATTTCTACTTTAAATGCAAAGAAAGGAGATGCCCACGTCAATGGAGAAGGTCTGGATCTCGATGCTTTAGGCTTTTCTCTACATCAGTGAACTGGGCCACAGCAGAGGTAATGTGTTTGACGCAACGCAAATTTTAAATGTATGATCTTAGCAAAATATGTCAACTTCACAATGATTATAAAAACAAAACGTCTATCTTCAGAAAAATTGTCAACGTCTTGGTGGGAATCTTGCCTCTGTGCTAAACGATGTGGAAAATGATTTTCTGCTGAGTCTGATACCCAACTCCAAACGTTTCTTTATTGGTGGCTATAATGTTGATGTAAGATTTTATTAACTTTGTCATATGAGTAGGTTTTTTTTTTTTTTTTTTTAATTTACAATTTGTCAATTAAGTTTCCAATGTTTTAGTACAAGAGCTCTAAACCTCTTTACTCATTAGGAACAGAACTGGTTTTGGTCTGATGGATCTCCATTTGGTTATACAAACTGGTGCTCAGGAGAGCCTAACAACATGAATACGGAGCACTGCTTGGAGATTAACTGGACCGGTAAGACTTCTTAATGTCATATAAAATGACCTTAAGCATTTAGTCCAACCTACTTGACTTTATTTATTTTTATTTCTCCTAGCAAACCGTTGTTGGAACAACTTGCCTTGTTCAGTTGAACTAGGCTATATCTGTGCCAAGAACCTAAATGATTGCTCTTAATTTAAGTGTTCATCTTGTTCAATCACAAGGCTAAATATGCCAATTAAGATGCTGTTCTCATCACCTGCTTGAATCAATAAATCAAAGCAAATCATTGGTGTTTAATAGTCTTGGTGTGCTTTTTTTTTTTTTTTTTTTTTTTTAATTTTGATTGCAGCTAAACATCATCAAAGGGGCTGTTACCTCAAGTGATACCAGGATCAAAATCTGTCCCAAATTCCTTGGTGTACTAATTTTTGCATAGAAATTCATATTCTATTCAGCTTAATTGCTTTTATTCTGGGTTTACCACAGTTCTGTATGAACTGCCAACTTATCTAGCACGTTTTACGCAGCGGATGTCCTTCCACCTGTAACCTGTCACTGGGAAACAGCCATACATTCTCTCATTCATACACTACAAACAAATTAGCTTACCCAATTCACCCATACCACATGTCTTTGGACTGTGGGGGAAAACTCATGTAAACAAGGAGAGAATATGCAATTTCCACACAACTGTCAACTGACCAAGGCTTGAACCAGCCACCTTCTTACTGTGAGGTGATTGTGCAGCTGTGATGTCCTGTTTATTTATATATATATATATATATATATATATATATATATATATATATATATATATATATATATATATATATATATATATATATATAATTATTAAATATGGATAGTTTATTCTTTGTCTTTTAAAATATTTTTGTTTCTGGATAAAAATATCTTTACACTAATATTTGACCCATCTAAATTTTAAAATTAAATATATATTATTTAGTTTACCTGATATTTTCTATTATAAAAGCTTCTGTTACCCTGCTTTTACCCCAAAATTTAATTTGCATCCCAAATCAGACAGGTATATCCTGTATCATCCTTGAGACAGACTGACTCACTCACTTGACATAGAGTAAAGTTTAAAAGCATAGCTCTTTCAAGAACTTCACTAAATCTTCACTACAGGAAACAATCTGAACACTAAGGTGAGTTTTGACAGTGACCTGCTAAATAGATGATCTACTCGAAGTAATATAGTATACTCTCTTTTGCATGTGCAGATTGTGAATACACCAACTTTTCCTGCTTATTCATTTTCAGGATCATCCTGGCAATGCTAATAAATCTGCTGCTTTTCATGTTCTCCATATGGAATGCATCAAGTAATTTGTTAGTAAGAAACCTTTTGACATTTTTGTAGCTTTATGAAGAGTAATGGCAAAATATTTTGAATATTCTGACTAATAATTGCATGATTAATGATTTAAATTATATAATAATAAAAATTATTATTATTATTATTAATGATTAAATGTATTTGCAACAAAATCACAAACCCTAAAAATAAGCCACATGAAATGGTCAAAATGTTGAATGTTACTATTGCCTTTATATACTGTGTGAAGGCTCATGTCCCTATGGATGGACAAATATGACGTGCATTTGTGCATAATAGAGTGGAAAATTATTTTCTGCTCAGTAAGATGCTGCCTTCATTGCTGGAATGGCGGTCATGATGGTGAACAAGTAGGTTTAAACTTGAGTTTCAAGACATTAAATGTCGTGCTCTTAACAAAAAAAAACAAAAAAAACATCTGAACTGTAAACATTGAATAAATATGTATGCATGTAATTTTTAGATTATAAGTAGACTGTTAGGTTGGAGTTAGAGCTAGTGTAGGTTGACATGTACTTGCAAAGTATCAAATAGTCGGTTAAATGTCTGTTGAAGGAGCAGTATCAACACATTAAGCAGACAGTCTACTAGTACTCAAATGAACCATCAAAATAAAGTGTTACCCAGGCATTATTTATTTACACACTAAAATGTGCTTTAATTAAATTGATAAAATTATTTTTCACTATATTTGTAAGTGTCACTACTGGGTCTCTGTACTTTTCACAATGCCTTTTTTTAAATATTAAACTATTCACCAGATTTTTATTTTTATAGACTTGTCAAATCCCCCATTCTCCTATTTATAAACTGTATTAAATTAAATGATGAAATTTTGTATTGGTTTACTCAACTGCAGATGTCACAGTTTTGGACTTTTTGTAGCATTTTCTGTTTTACCCAGTTTCCTGCCAAAAATTTCCTTCACGTGTGTCGATCCTTAGTTCAATCTGTATCACCTGTATTAGTTAATCAGTGAGTGTATTTGAGTTCCTCAGCACCCTTTAGCTTAAATCTGGTCTGACCTTACTTCAGGTTTCTCTAGTTATTTGGATTCCCAATGTCTGTATCTGTGATATATAATTTATTCCATGTTTATTGTTATTTTGTTTAATTTTTTATAGTGCTTGTGCTCCATTTCTGGATGCAGGGCTGACTGAGTAGTTTCACAAACTCCTCAAACCTCACTGAAGACCTCTGTCTGAACACCAAAGTAATTTTTAAGCACCAAGAGCTTCTGAATCACTTTTATTTACAAAGTATTTTCCTCTGCACCTTAATTTAGACACTGAACTTTTCTGTTTTATGTTCAGGTTCATGATGGTGATGCTGAGAAGTCTTCTGCTGTTTTTCTTGTTCTGCATGGGCATTGCAGCAGGTAGTCAATATGTTAATTTTTTTAAATTCTTTTTAAATATTATACTTTTGTAGTTTTATTAAGGAAAAGTAAAGCATTTACTGTGATCATACAAACGGTTATAAATGACGTTAACTTTGCTGGGAGTCACAGTAACAGTGTATTTCTACTTTAAATGCAAAGAAAGGAGATGCCCACGTCAATGGAGAAGGTCTGGATCTCGATGCTTTAGGCTTTTCTCTACATCAGTGAACTGGGCCACAGCAGAGGTAATGTGTTTGACGCAACACAAATTTTAAATGTATGATCTTAGCAAAATATGTCAACTTCAAAATGATTATAAAAACAAAATGTCTATCTTCAGAAAAACTGTCAACGTCTTGGTGGGAATCTTGCCTCTGTGCTAAACGATGTGGAAAATGATTTTCTGCTGAGTCTGATACCCAACTCCAAACGTTTCTTTATTGGTGGCTATAATGTTGATGTAAGATTTTATTAACTTTGTCATATGAGTAGGTTTTTTTTTTATTTTTTTTAATTTACAATTTGTCAATTAAGTTTCCAATGTTTTAGTACAAGAGCTCTAAACCTCTTTACTCATTAGGAACAGAACTGGTTTTGGTCTGATGGATCTCCATTTGGTTATACAAACTGGTGCTCAGGAGAGCCTAACAACATGAATACGGAGCACTGCTTGGAGATTAACTGGACCGGTAAGACTTCTTAATGTCATATAAAATGACCTTAAGCATTTAGTCCAACCTACTTGACTTTATTTATTTTTATTTCTCCTAGCAAACCGTTGTTGGAACAACTTGCCTTGTTCAGTTGAACTAGGCTATATCTGTGCCAAGAACCTAAATGATTGCTCTTAATTTAAGTGTTCATCTTGTTCAATCACAAGGCTAAATATGCCAATTAAGATACTGTTCTCATCACCTGCTTGAATCAATAAATCAAAGCAAATCATTGGTGTTTAATAGTCTTGGTGTGCTTTTTTTTTTTTTTTTTTTTTTTTTTTTTTGATTGCAGCTAAACATCACATGGGGCTCACAAAGGGGCTGTTACCTGAAGTGATACCAGGATCAAAATCTGTCCAATATTCCTTGGTGTACTTTTTTTTTTTTTTTTTTGGTTTTTGCTTGCATAATTCATATTCTTTTCAGCTTGGTTGCTTTTATTCTGGGTTTACAAGAGTTCTGTGTGAACTGCCAACTTATCTAGCACATGTTTTATGTAGCAGATGTCCTTCTAGCTGCAACCCATCACCGGGAAACACATTCACACACTTGCACTACAAACAAATTAGCTTACCCAAACCACATGTCTTTGGACTGTGAGGGGAAAATTTGTGTGAACAAGGGGAAAACATGCAATCTCCACACAAATGTCAACTGACCAAGGTTCGAACCAGCCACCTTCTTACTGTCAGGTGATTGTGCTGCTGTAATGTCCTGTTTTAAAAATGAATTATTAAATATGGATAGTTTATTCTTTGTCCTTTAAAATATTTTTGTTTCTGGATAGAAATATTTTTACACTAATATTTGACCTATCTAAATTTATAAAATTAAATATATAATTCAGTTAACCTGATATTTTCTTTTATAAAAGCTTCTGTTACCCTGCTTTTACCCCAAAATTGAATTTGCAGAATAACTGGGTATATAACACAATATACAGCAGTAGTCATAATTATTAGTCTTTGAATTTTTTATTTTTTATTTTTTAAATATTCCTGAATGATGTTAAACAGAGCAAAGACATTTTCACAGTATGTCTGATAATAATTTTTTACTCTGCAGAAAGTCTTTGTTTTATTTCAGCTTGAATAAAAGCAGTTTAAAAAAAAACATTAAGGTGAAAATGATTGGCCCCTTTAAGCTGTATTTTTTTGATAGTCTACAGAACAAACTATTGTTATACAATAACTTGCCTAATTACCCTAACCTGCCTAGATAACCTAACTAACTTAGTCAAGCCTTTAAATGTCACTTTTAGCTGTATAGAAGTGTCTTGAAAATTATCTAGCAAAATAATATTTACTGTCATCATGGCTAAGATAAAGTAAATCAGTTAATAGAGATGAGTTATTAAAACTATTACATTTAGAAATGTGTTGAAAAAAAATACTTGAACAGAAATTGGGGGGGAAATAAACTGGGGAGCTAATAATTCAGGAGGGTTAATAATTCTGACTTCAACTGTAAATGTACTGTATAGGCCAAGATGAGAAATGCCCCTGTGGATGGAAAAATTCTGGCTCTCGATGCTTTAAGTTTTTCTCTGAGTCAGTTGACTGGATCACAGCAGAGGTAATGTGTTTGATACAACACTGAGATTTTAAATCACTTATTATTATGCAAACAATGTTTACTTTTGTGTTAACGATTTAAAACATTGCTTCAGATAAACTGTCAAAGTCTTGGAACGAATCTTGCTTCTATTCAAAACAAAGTGGAAAATGATTTTCTGCTGAGTCTGGTGCCTGATTCCACACGCTGCTGGATTGGTGGTCATGATGGTGAACAAGTAGGCATAAAGACTTATTTGTTTGTCAAGATTT